TAGGTCCTTCAGTGCAACTTTTGATTAAATTTGACCATAGAGTTGCATGGGAAGACCTAGATATTCCTAGAGAGAACATAGTAATAAAATCTGTGAATAATCAAATCCGCAAAAGTCAAAGCTGTAAATGTGGAGGGATGAGTGTATATGCACTTACAAGGCCATTAATCATGGTCATTGAACATGCACTGGAGAAGAGGCAGAGTTTGTCCATGCAACCTTGTAAACTACTCATTGATTAAGGAAGAGGAGGATTTATATGAATGACTTGTCATGAAGCACAACTGACAACAAGTGACTTAATGGCACATTGCCAAGAAGTGACAAACACAGCTGAAATGGGGAGTAAGTTTTTTTTTTTTAATTATGAACAAAAGTGTTTATGAAAAAATCAGAGTTTTGGCTCAGACTAATATAAGCCCTAGCCAGTACTGCCATGGATTCAAAGGAAGATTACAGTTCTCTATTGGAACCATGCGTTTGGGATTTAGTAATGCTTTTTTCATTTCTAAGTAATGCTAGTTTCAGTTCATCTACATCTGATGGAAAATTGCACATTTTAGATTTCACTTTCACTGAAAATGCCCATCCTCTTGTTTTTTTCTAGTACTTGTCTCATGTTTGTTAATTCTGAACCATCTTATGAATTGTGAATCCTTTCTTTCAACTTACCAATGTCGTTACATCAAGTGAGATTTTATAATGACATTCCCACTGGCTTCATGATCTCTAAAAGGCTCTGTTCATCCCTTAGATAATGTATTGGCTGAAGCTTAGTGATATGATTAGTGATTGGGAGCCTGTGGGGAGATTAATAGTTTGAGTGTCAGGCTAGTGCTCTAAGAGACAGGGCTGGAATTCCCACTCAGCCATGGAAATCCACTGGGTGATCTTGGCCAAGTCATATTTGCTTACCCTATGAAGAAAGCAATGGCAAATCTCTTCTGAATAAATCTTGCCAAGAAAACCCTAGGATAGAGTCACCATATGTTGGAATCAACCTGAAGACGCCTAACAACAACAGCAAGTGATACTATTATATTGTGTGTGTGTGTATACATACATATATACATACACACACACACACACACACACATATATATCCTATTTTTATGTGACACTTGATTGGCCCTCTGGAGTAATTAAGGAACATTTTTTATTTTCTAAATTTAATATTGTGATTGTTATTGTTTAGCTATTGATCCAACAAAAAAAATCTATCTCTTAGATATGTCAAAAATGGTTTATTTTCAAGCATTTACTATTTTAAGAATTATCCAGTCCAAGTGTGATTTAAAGACAATGAAAACAGAAAGGGAGATTAGAAGCCTTGGTGTTGCTCTGAACAGGCAGGCTAACAGGTTAGTTAGTACTAGTCTTCTCCTATAGGGTGAAATATACTGTATTTCTATTTATATTATATTTTATTTAAAAATAATTGGAACATTTTCACAAATTCCTGTTCATCAGCAGAGGTGTGAACAGAGAAAATGGTTCTTGGCATTATATATATTAATATACAGTAGGCCCTTAGTATCCACCAGGGTTTGATTCCAGGACCCCTCGTGGATATCAAAATCTGTGGATTCTCAAGTCCCATTAAATACAATAGCACAGTGAAATTGTGTCCCTTTTTAAAAACAACAAAATCAAGCTTTAGTTTTTGGAATTTAAATATTTTAAAAACATTTTCAAGCCATGGATGGTTGAATCCATGGATAAAGAATCTGTGGGTATGGAGGGTCAATTGTACAAGTTTTCACAACTGGACATAGAGCAAAAGAAATTTCAGAGACTTCAAGGAAACTGACTTGGAAACCAGATTTCTTTCTTTCACTCTTCCCTACTAACACACTAGCTAATGGGAGAACCTTTTATACTCTTAAACACCTCTGAGGACTTATGGACATGGCCACAATATACATTTTTCTATATACTGTTACTTTCTATCCCATTTTCTGTGTAACTGTGTTACTTTGCTTAAGCATCTGGGAGTTTAATATAATTCATCAGTGCATTGCAAGAAGTGGATTGATATCCATGAAAGCTCATGCTACAAAATTAGACTAAAAATGCTGCTAGATTCTCCCCCTACAACTCTTTATCTTATTTTCTTTTAATATTTATATTATTGTAATTCTTTCTAAATTAACACTCATTTCTAAGCATATAAAATTTAGTATATGCAAATCCTAAGAAAATATCTGTCATTTTTTTTTTTTAAATGATGTGTTTCTCTTCTTCTGGCAATGCACAAGTGGCCATTCCATCTAAGAAATGTTTTTTTACATTTCTCACTGTTGCTTGAAGCATTTGACAAGAAGAGCAGCACTGTAATTTAAACCGCCACCTGTCTCCTATCATATAAGTAATTGTATAAATATATTTTTCCCAGCTTCATTGTCCTTCAGGCACTCAAGGCAGCAATGTCCACTATTGCCCTGACAAACCTGATTTTTTTTCAAAGTCACAGTACGAAATGGAAATACCTCTGTAAAATGAAAGTATGACAACTGCTTTCTCAGGATTCTTTTTCATTTAGAGTATTATTTCATGATGCCATGCCTGAACTGTTAACAGAAATGTGTAAAAAAAAAGTATGAAAATCAGCTGTAAAAAGATTCTATAGAGGACAATGCAGCTATTCAAAATACTTTTACCTGTGACACACAACCCTTGGCTCTAAGTGGGAGGAGGATGCTTCATCCCATAATTTTGTGATCAGACACTCACAACTTTGGCTACTTTCTGTGTGCCCCCCTCCAAGCCAACGGGATCCCACCTTCCCGAATTCGTTGGGCTGTGGGGAGGAGGAGGATCTCCAGGTTTTCAGCGACCTCCCTATTACCTGACTTCCATCAGTTATGGTGGCAATTACTGGGGACATCCTTTCTCCTCTCCACCTTCACCAGAACCTCTTTTAAACTCCAACAATCCTACTGTTTTGAATTGCTATTGTCCCACCACTACTAGGAACAGAGACAAACAGCAATCTCAGTAGTGATTGCTGAGGGGTGGGAAAGATGGGAAAGACATACAGAGAGAGATCCCTAGATTTCAGTGAGCAGATAGTATAGGTAAACCTCTTCATCTTTGTAAACTGAGATGTGTCCATGAAGTGTACATATGTAAAAGAAAGAGTGGACATAGTCCTTGGGTCAAAATATATTGTTCTCTTTTGACCTATATCATTAGAAGGAACTGAAAGCTGCACTTGTCTATGTTCTGCACAATGTCTTTTGTAGTCTCAGACCTTGGGGGGAGGGGATATTCAGAAATCTATCTTCTTCATAGGTTCCAATGAGAAACATTATTGAAGATAGAGTCATGGCTAAGAGTGGGATTAAAGAAGGAGGGAATGATTTGTGTCCAGAGACATTTCAGTCCACTTCCAACAGAGTAAATAGCATTGATCTAAAGTACTTTGTAATGGAAGTTATAACTATTCATGCCCATACGGTTTAATTCTTTGTCATACCAACTCATCTCCAAGAAAGCATATCATCATGAAACTTCTAAGGAACAGAGACCTTCGATGTTATGCATAGAGAGAAAATACTTAAGCTGTATTTATATTTGTCTACTCAGCTGTTGTATTATTATTAATTAAAAGCATTCAGAGCTCTTTATTTCATTTTAAATTTTCAGACAAGTGGGAAGTGTGTACAGAGCTGGCATAGATACTCTTGACAGTGTTCTTAAAATTTGAGTAAATGAACTAAATGGCCTTTGGAAAAGCTGTTTGTGCAATCTTTGAGTCCTTGCAAGCATTAAGTCCTAAGCAACCACAAAAGTTGTCAACACTGCTCTAAACACTTTGTTCCCTCTAGTAGCTAATTAATGTATTCAGAACATACTTGCTACTGCATTTAAGATAAATGGTATATTTCTTTGATTGTGCTTGATGAGAACTATAGGACAATGTGAAAACATTTTTACAGTATACATTACCACCTTCTGTTTGAGAAATGAGTTTAGAAGAATGGGAGAAAAAGAATCTAATTTAGGTCAAGGATTAAAAGATTAAGGATGGCATGAAAAGAGGACATATACTTTAAACCCAAAGGGGCCATTTTCAAAAGGATTGTGCAACATGGAACTGACACTTGTAATACCTGGAACCAGTTAGGCAAGAAGGGCCCTACCATGAGATGAAGCATTTCCCTTAAGAAGGAAATACTGGGAGGCACTGGCTCCTGGGCATTCCCCTCTCTTGGAGGGCAGAGCTGCATGTGCCACAGTCCTGTCTTGGGATCCCTGTGT